GCTCCCCCCCCCCCCCCACTCAACTGGACTTTTGCCACTTCGGCTTTCATTCAAGATTTCAGCCAAAAATAAACCAACATAAAGCCGATTAGCATGATGGTTCCATCCCAACACCATCATGAATCAATGCGCAATAGAATGGCCCGCGGCCGGTCGGTCCAGCGCAGAGAATGCAGCAATACAAAAGGAGACGACGGATGCTGCTTCATTTTTGGGATATGAGGGCTTGATTGGTTATCGACGAGCAAGCCCGACGGGGGCATCGTTAGCAACTGATGTTTGAGAATATGACAGAGTAATTACTATCTGGGTCACTAATTAAATCAAAAGCCGCCCCCGGTGGTTAACGACTCACTCATGCCAATATGATTATTATGAACATAGACCTTCATGCGGGCGTCGACGCGGCCCATTGAGCTCTCGATGAACGTCCTAAATAGCAGGGGAATATTGACGGCGGGGTGGAAATAACGCTAAAAAAAGGCCGTATGTGTTGTTTATGTCGTTTTCATGCATCCTTCAGGTCTAAAATATTCCGAAGAATGGTCACCTCCTCCTCCAGCCAGTCGTTGTACTGGACGATGCTCGCCATGGCCACGTCAGCACCCTTCATGTAGAATGTGATGTCACCCGTTGACTCCTCCTAGACGGCAAAATACTCGCAGTGAGCCAAAGTGTAAAGTTAATCAAAGAAAACAAATCAATCAAATACATTTTCAAATATGGTCAATATATATATTTGTAATCTTAGCATTACTTTTGTTTTTTTTGTTGGATGTAAAATATGTGTACTAACTGAAGACAATTCAGTGTTTGGTAATGAAAATACATTTCTGACCCTGACGATGATACCCATGCGCTTGCTCTCGGAGGTGAAGGGGAAGATCTGCAGGATGCTGAAGGACAGGATCTGCCCGGCAGGCGTCTTGAGCTGCAGGGAGGCCAGGTCTCGGTTCACGAGGGTCAGGCCCACACTCTGAGTCCACTGCACCAGCGCCACCTGTAGTTACACAATTAGTTTGTTCGGTTATTCACAAGTTAGTTGAAGACTTAAGCTGCTGTAAGACAAACCTATTGCTTGCCAAATAGTGAGGCCAGTTTACCTTACTGCTTTTGTTAGCCTCAGACCTTAGGAGCTGACTGTTGAATGATGTCTTATATATCCTATTATAGCTCTTTAAACCCACTGTGCATACAATAAAGAAGTGAGCTTATCGTTAGCCTCAAATGCTAGTAGCTCATTGTTCAATGGCATCTTCGACTTCCAACATAGTTTGATGTTGACGAATCGCGAACCAACCATTAGCCGTAGCACTTTTGTTGCCTGAAAACGCTAGAAGTTAATAGTTTATTGATGTCTAGCTTCACATTAAGCCTTCCGGTAAATCACAGGTGTCAAAGTCAAGGCCCGGGGCCCAGATCCGGCCCGCCACGTAATTTTATGTGGCCCGGGGATGCAAATCATGTGTGTCAACTTTCATGATCCTTGCTGAAATCTGGACCGAAATGTCAAATTGTCATGGGTAATAAATAACATTGAGATTTTGCATCGGCCCTCCGATGGAAGCCGTAACTCCGAAGTGGCCCGCGACAAAAAATTAGTTTGACACCCCTGCTCAACATAGTTTAGTTTGATCGTCAAATAGTGAGCCTACACTTGTTTATTCAAATTGTCTGTTCCATTTGAATCACATCAATAAAATATTGAGACAAAATCCCCCCGTGCTGAGACATCAGAGCATTACGGGATGTCTATTGTATGACACTGAGCGCCAGATAAGCGCTTTCCTGTCCCCCCCCAACTCCCCGGCAGGAACTCAGAGCCCCCACAAAAAAACCCACGTGCGAGTGAGCGAGTGTTCAGCTGCACACGACTCAACTCTCAATGGCTTCATTTTCAATTTTGCTCACTCAAAGGTTGTTATTATACTCTGACCTACAAATTGGGACTTCCTGTTAATACCCAGCCATCCATCCCTCCCTTCTTAACACACACACACACACACACACACACACACACACACACACACACACACACACGCACACACACACACTTTTTACTTAACACATGTGAATCATGATCTCGTGTGTGTGTGTGTACACAGAGCTGGACACATGCATACTCTACACATTCTACAAGTTATTAAACGAAATTAAGCACGATACTTTAAATCTAATGTGATTTTAATGTTTACATTAGAGTCACGGTTCTCAAATTTTTTGGCGCTCTGGGAAATTTTTCAAACCGCCCCCTAATTGTAATGCCAGTTGACAAACAAAACCACGACAAGCGGGTGACAGAACAAAAGACAACGGAAGGCGGCGAAGGGGGGTCTCTTGTCACCTTGGAGAGTAAATGAAATATTGCTCAAGCCAAGCGAGTCGATGGATTTGGTGTGCAGTGGTAGTGGGTGAGGGGATCTAAATGTACAGTATACATCAGCCGGGATGGGAGGAAGAGACAAGCACAATGGTGGGAGATTTTGATTTACTTTGAACTGCTTTCTGATTGCGCAATTTGACGATTAGTGCTAACATCTGGGCGCTATATTGAGTATGTTAATTTACATATACACTTTTGCTTCTTAAGGGGCTGATTTTGATTTTTTTTTTTTTTTTAATAGCTTAACCTTCTCCGAGAGCTCATAGTTTCTGACTGTGTGCTCGTAAAGTGACAAAATGGTGTTGTTTAGATTGTTGGTCAGGCATTAATAATGGATAGGGGGTGGGGGTCACCTCATCAGGACTGGAGGCCTGGTACGTGCGGTTGTCGTCGCTGAAGTCCTGGTCGGCCTCCGCCGTCTCGGTCTCGCCACACGCCTCGTAGACGGGCGTGACGTTGTGGCACAGAGCGATGGCCTTCACCGCCTCGTGGATGCGGCTGCTGACGCTCTTGCGGACTTTGGGGCCCGGCGTCTGGGATTTCTGGGACGCTGCGGCGGAGCCGCCGGCGCTGCCACTGGAGGGGCCCTGACAGGGAATGAACATAATGCTGATATCATTATTATATATTTGTGGGGATTTATTTTTTTTCTACAAAAGACAAAACTATTGGAAGATTTTGACTTTTATCTCAATAACACAAGCCATCTTAACCTGAGCGTAGGACTGGATGACATGGCTTTGGATTTCGTCCATAGTGTCGGTACCGTAGGACACGGTTCCCAGGTGCAGCCGCTTGAAGATCATCTCGTTTTGTGTCAAAGTGCCTGCGGGTCACGTGGATAGCTTTAGAAACACACTTGGGGGTTTTTTCACCTCCATACTTCAGACTGATGATGCACTCTGTACACAAAAGTATTACGAGCATGTTCCACCTGCAGCAGGTGAAAAAGTTGAAAAAGAAATTTGAGTTCTTGCCGGAAAAGAAAAGGGGCGTAAGCCCCAACATTCTCACAAAGAGTGCTCACAATAGATCACGTGACCCACATCTGGCCCTAATCTCCTTCCCAATATAGACGGTGTGTCCTCTCTAATTACGAGCCAAAACACAACCAAACTAAGTCAATGTACCGGTGGCAAAACAAGGACGATGGGGTCGTTTGAATGGATGTTGCTGCCAGAGCGTCCCACACTGTTTAACCAGTTTTTGCTGATTGATGGCTCCTCATTCTCTTACCGATCAACCTGGATAAATAGGCACCAACGCCCAATCCATTCCTACCTTGAGCAGCGGACTGAGACAAAGCCGTAGGAATTTATCACCCTGACGCCCAGCGAACAGGTGATACAAAAGAGTGGTGGGGTGTATTTCTGGCCACTCTTGCCTGTTTTGTCCGTCAGCAGGTAGACCAGCCGGCCCAGTTCTTCCGGGATGGTGCTGGTCCTCACCACCGTGCCGGGAATGTTCTCATCCTTCATGATCATCCAGCCGTAGGCGGCCTTGCCCATGTCCAGGTTCACTCGTAGGCTGCGTCGCAAGGTCAATGAAGCAGCAAGTGAAACCCATGTCCAAAAAAAAAAAAAGGTTCTCTGAGGTACCTTATGGGGATGATATAAGAGAAGAGCACAACAAAGCGGAACAGGTTGCGGAACCACAGGCCCACAAAGCCGAGCAGGGCTTCCATGACAATGGACAGAACTAGTTGGGCGAAGAACAGGGCCTTGGTGAGTCGGTTCAGTTCCAAGTCCAGTAGGCCCACCTGCAGACAGAAGGGGGGAAAAAAATGACTGCTACCGCTGGCCAATGGGGGTGCCAGAATAATTACAAGATCATGTTTTGGGTTTTTTCCAGAAATTGAAAATAAAATAAGCATATCGAAGAAATAAATGACGACACTTCGGTTGTTGCTAGGCAGACTTCCTGGGGCTGAATCGTAACTGCCCCACCAACCAATGAAAACCCACAAAGGAAATAAAACGACATGACAACAATCTCACCTCATTCACTATTTAGATGCTGGCTTTTGTCATTTAAATCGCGTACGACATAAACAAGGTTATGGGTGGTAGTTTAAATAGAATTTTATTTATTTATTTTTTTTAACAAACTACATTGTCGCCTTTCAATACGCTCAGGGTCAAAGGAGTTCCCATATTGAGATGGCTCTGGAGAGAAAAGGGGACCAAAAAAAAAAAAAAGGGATGAGGAGTAGCGGGGTCAAAGTTGTCTTATTTTTCAAGTGCATCTCACAGCCAATGAAGTATGTGGGAAAAAGATGTTAAATAAAGAAGCCGCCCAACCCATTTTTGGCAGCGTACCACAGAGGGCTTTCATGTGATGCAGTGCACTGACAATAAAACCCCCCAAAAAACGCCAACATAACATTTCCCCGCGCTCAAGGACCTGCGATGAATAGGAAGCGGGCGGGGAAGGAGGAAAAGGAGAATTCCTCCACTGCTACTGGACCCCCAACGAGCACATTTCCTCCCCGAGGACCGCCGAGGCCCGAGAGAGCAGTGTGACTGATTTATCAGTGGATGTTAAAAATCCCAGTAGCCCAGGGCGGGGTGGGCGGGAGCCCAAACTCCAAGGTTCATGCTTGAGCTATTGAGAAAAATAGAAAAGGGGAGGTGGGGGGGGGCACGGTGGGATTAAAATGAAGAAAAATTAAGACAGAGCGCACAGCTGAAAAGCAAAAGGATCCCCTTTAGGCAGAACAATGGCTGCTCGACGTTCTCCAGGCCTGGCCGAGGATCGGATGAAGTCATTGTAAAGCCCGTTGAGGCGTGTTGGGGTCGGGGTGGGGGTGAAGGAAAAGGGCTCAATTACTTCAACCTTAAAGAAGTGATCAGTGAATAAAAGAACATATTTCACTTCAGTCGTCGCCGCGCCATTAAAAGAAGAATGATTTGTTGGGCCTTTGTGGCGCCCTGTAAACGTGCGTGTGAAATTGGGGCTCGTCCTCATTTATTTGGGTCATTTTGTGGTGGCAGGTAACAAAGTACAAATATTTTTTACTTTTAGTCCCTAGATTAGAAAACGGGTATCTGTACTTTGGGCTTTATTTTTTAACAGTTGTGGATGACAACATAAAACAAAACAAAATAAAAACCGTATTCAATTTGAACTCATTCAGTGCCAACCAATTCTGGACCAAGTCTGAAAAGACGTTTAAAAACGTCTTCGGAAGTGAATGAGGTTAACTATACAATATACTGTAGATAACTGACAGTAAAAGTTCATTTTTGTTTTGCTCCATAGCGGTAAGTTTCAGTGTCGACCTTTTAACATCTACTTCAGGAAAAGGAGTCGAATCAGTACTTGCACTTAAGTCATCTCTAACTACACAACTACAGTACTTTTGCCACCACCGCACATGATTTTATCTTTATTGCATCGTGTGAGTACTTCTGTATTTGACTGGAGATGTCCATTTGCAACGATGCATATTGCTTTTTAGCTTGAGACGGTGGTGCTAGCTCGGAATTCACGGATATTGATTACGATACGGATATTGAAATGACAGTTCGAGAGACGTACTTTTTGTTACAAGGGGCCGCGTCCGACGATTAGACACAAGGAGACAATTGTTATCCGGTGTCCTGTCGGGCAGATCATTGTCCCACCTGAGGCCAAAAAAACATTGTCGTGCTCGACTATTGACTTTTACACCCCGCAATCTCTGCTCGCCGTATTGGCACTTGTGACATTATCCCCTTGATATTTATTGAATTTCCCTCAGATTCCACCAAAAAGGAGGGCGGAGGTGATGCTAATTCCACCTCTGTCAACACGAGGGTAAAGAATAATACCTAAAGAATCAAATGTAAATGTTACATTGCGTTTAGCTGTCCTGGGCTGACTCTTTCCCCGGCAATTATTACATTTCAATTTAAGTTACACTCATTATAACCCCTCTAATGACCGACATCTAAAATTATTTTTTCCCTTACTTAATGGTGGCCACGCAACAAATATGTCGGGAAAAGCCTACTAGAAAATCTGACCGCGATTTTTAATAATTTGGTGGTATTTAAACCGGGGTGTTTCGAGTTTTGACATCCACTGTTTATGTCATCGGCGTATGTATTTCGATGACATCAGGATGGAAAGTGAGCTGTGCGTGTACAGTGCATTCAGAGCATCAGATACCCGGTACAAATCAGATTTTTATCCACTTTGGAAGAGATGTCACTTGGACCGTGCGGTGTAAATCGAGGCTCCGGCAGGTGTTCATGCTGCAATAACCCCCAATCCAACGCCCCCACCCCCACCCTTAGAGTATTCAAATCATTTTATAATTTATATTTATTGATATAATTTTTGTTCTTCTATTTCTCCCTTTCATAATTTTGCTGCTGTAAGTTGGGAATTTCTCCATTGTGAGACAAATAAAGGTTTTCTTATCTTAAAACCTAAATCAGCCAACACTGAATCATTTTCATCAATCTCCGGGAACAAAACACTCGATGCAGGATTGTGGCGGATTAACTCCTCACCAGAAAAAGTCATTTAAATCCTGCCCTTAGTTAATTTCCCTTTTGGGTAATTAGCTAACGCTGCTGACCTTTTCTGCATTGACAAGAGAAGCTTTATCTATAAGGTCAAGGGTGCCAAAAGAAAAAAAAAGAAGAAAAGAAAAACACCTTGCATGTGACTTGGCGCAATCTAGTAACCCTTTCACAACCAACAACGGATGTACTGTACACATCAATACGTTCTCCTAACGGGTAGGCGGGGGAAGAAAGTCAGGCCCACCTTGTCAGTCAAATTTTTATTATGATTTTCGCAATCTCTTCAGACTTTGTTTCTGCTTCTGTATGCTTTTAATGTTTTACGTAAAGCACTTGTATGTGAAGTGTGCTAAACAAATGAGTTTGCCTTGCCGTGATTCACAAAAAGCTAATTTTCTCCGCTTTTTGACCAGAAACCGGTGTTTTTGTTCAAACCAAATCATGTTGATGATTAATGAACAGGAAAAGATAGAAAAACATTTTCTTTATGAGGAAATAAAGTATACTCTTTTCCTTTTGGTAGATGCCGTGTTTAAATTGTGAGCGAACAATGTTCTGTTGGTCTTGAAAGATCAGCCAAAATGCTCTGAATGAGCTCACGCAGCTGAAGAACCTTCACCTTGTTTTTGGCTTCGGACGTATTGAGTACACTGCGGGTCTCCTTGCCGGTGTAGATAACCACCCCGATCACAGTGCCTGCCAAACAAACAGGACAAGTAATACTGCTCATTATCTGGCCACCCATGAATTCCCCCCCCCACACACACCTTAGTAAGATGAACTGCATGGGAGGAAATGCAATAAGGCTGCGGAGAAGCGTTGTTGTGTCTCATTGTCACTCAAGTCAGGCGTTTTAATACGTTGGGCGCCCTCACACAAACGCTGTGATAAAACCAAATCAATGCACCGCCATCTTCACTCGCCAATTCATTAAGGTGGCCTTATAACAACGGACTAAAGGGTCATTAATATTAAATGAGCCAGCAGAAGTTTTAATGCAGGAACTTTAAAAAAAAAAAAAAGGCCAAAATGCCTTAAGTGGGTGAAGTTGATGAAGAATGTGTCAAGTTATATTTGGTCTACATTTGTCATCAAATGGCACTTGCCCCTTTTTGTATCGATACTGAACCATAAAAGAAAACTATGTGACACAATGGGATGTTAGCAATGAATCAGAAGTGTCAATCAGACGTCACAATAAGATTAAACCAGATGGTATCTCAAAGTGCTAACATCATAGTTCCACAAGAGACGATATACGACATTTGTCTATCCATAGTGCACTTTAACAGACAACTAGACGTTGTCACATCGATAAGGTCACAATCTTGAGTTGCCCATGGAGAGACTTTTGCTGGGGACAATAATGATGTAAAGAGCCCACTCAGTAAGTTAAGGCCTCAGTGTTTGTTCTTCTGGTCAAGGTCAGGGCATTGTG